CTGCAGGGACAGGGTGAACTGACAGAGCACTGGGAGGGTCACAGCTGCAGGGACAGGGTGAACTGACAGAGCACTGGGAAGGTCATACCAACACAAGTTTCTCTAACTTACTAGAATTTGCTCTCCATAGATCACAGAATAAAATCTTTTCTTTATAAAGAATGTATAGCAATACCATTTCTAAATGTTTATTTTCCAGTCAAACTTGAAAGGGCCTGCTATAATTTCAGTATTGCAGAAGGAATTCATCTCTTTGATTTTTACTTTGTAGGCACTGCCTAATATGCTCAATGACCTTTTCTATTATAAATGTTTTAATAATTTAATGGTTACTTTTGTAAAATTATCTACATTAAAAAGCTTATCATGTACATACTTAAAAAATGTATTAGGTATCCCTACAAACACTTTTCACATAGCACAGAACTTTTAGTAGTTCTACTCTAGTGAAAGGGGCTTATTCAAGTCAAGAGGCCCCTCAGTAAAAATAGTTATTTAATATTCATATTCTAGAGTGTTATTCTTAATTTTGAAACAAATACACTTATATTCTATGTTCAATGTATTTATTTTTAACTTAAAGGTGGTCATCATTTTTATCATATTCCTTTAGAAGGACTTTTTTTTTTAGTTTAAAAGGAATAAAAAATGGTTTGTGTGGAAGGAGATGAATCACTGCATTTGACCATGCAGTTCCCTAGTTATCCTTTTCATCATCCTGTAGTTAGACACTTACATGTTACATATCCTTTTCATCATCCTGTAGTTAGACACCTACATTTTATGTAGTGCTGCAGCTCCCAAAGTGACATGTACACTCTTAGGCAATGTACTTCCCTGTAGCAGAAGCTGCCTTTATTATTTGGTACTGAGATAAATAATAATTTTATCCACCCTTTATGACCATAATATCCTAGTATTCTGGTTCAAGTTTCTCTTATGAGTGCAATAATTTAATATGCTTGTTAGCTAAGGTGCTTTCTCCAAACACCATTAAAATGACATTTTCTGGTTCTGTATCACAAGTATGCATTTAGATCTGCAGTACAATCAGCTCTATCCATTCCTTCCATATAGACTGGTCAAGAGAGGAAAAGAAACCAAGGTTACCAGGACCAGTTTAACAATGCAGTTCTCTGTCACAACAAATACTTTACCAATTAACTTAACAACTGTTCCCACTTTCTCTTTATTTGCCTTTCCCAGTTGATGGACATCAGAACTCCCCTCTCTCTGCCCAGAGCTCCCGCCCACTCTGGGTGGGATTAGGGAGGGGAAGAAGCCAAGGAGCCATGTGGGCACCACACTCCTCATCTTGGGAGTCTCTGCCCTTAGCCCCTGAGAAAAAGGCAGCTCAAGCCTCATGAACACAAAAATAACATTTTGACAGAGAATAGTATCTCAATCATAGTAACCAGTAACGGGTAGTGTCTGTACAAGATAGGCTTTGAAGAACTTTTCATTTTTCCTTATCTTGCTGGCCTCCTAAATACACTTTCACTAAAAAGCAAGACAAATTGCCTTGTTAGCATGGCTAACGAAAAACTTTAGTTATTCTGTAAAAATATCCAGGTTGTCTTTCACAACAACTAAATCTTCCTTCTCAGATAATCTCCCCTAAAGATTATGCCTTGCACATTACTCTCTCTTCGTAGTTACAAAGCAATTACTACTCCTTGCTGCACCAACCACATCTGCTAGAAGATGAGGGAAAGTTGGGAATCTGCAGTGGAACAAGCCTGTTTTAAAATGAATTTTTAAAAAGTCCTGCAGGTTGTTGGATCATTTCTAAGACTCCTGAAATATCTCAATAAAGGGAAACTGCATGACCACTGAGCAGGAGGAGGGGGGTTGAGAAATCAGAGTGAGAAAAAGCGTTAGGATCCAGACCTAACCAAGAAGAGAAGTTGGATTTTACACACGAAAATCAAAGGCAGA